TTGTAACTTTTCTTTCTTTGTAACTTGTTTCACTAATAAAATATTTTTTCAAAACTTCATAGTCAAAAAAAGGGGGGGTGGCTTATACATAGGGGGTGCTTATACATAGGGAAATACGGTATTTCCGACAATATATTGTAGCGATGCAACACTCCCTCAGTAACTCGAATATCCTTTTCTAGGATGGCAACATCAGGATCCTAGTAGAATGATCCAACGGTCTATTTTGACCTAAATAAATTTATGAAATGTATTCACCTAATTTCGTTTAAGGTGATGAAGGACTGGTAGAAGAAGAATTTTCCCACAATCATATGAGTTGAGCTGACGTTTCCACTGAATTTCACATAGCCTTGCTTCCCAAAAGTTGTTCTCATCCAGGCTTAAGTGGACTGGAGTTTCGAACTCGCATCGGTATCATCAACACCCTTAGCGGGAGTCGAACCGCGACACTGCAGGATGGGGGCGGCTCGACTCTCGCTGAGGGTGTTGATAAGACCGATTCGAGGTCGAAACTGCAGTCCATTGGTGCCTGGGAAAGCAAGGCTATGTGAAATTCAATAGAAACGTCAGCTCAACTCATACCATTGTGGGAAAACTCTTCTTCTACCAGTCCTTCATCACCTTAAGTGAAATTGGGTGAATACAACTCATTGGACGTCATTAGGGCAAGGTATCATCATCTTTACAATCATATTTAAGCCAGCGAGTCAAAAAAACTCACCGGCACATCCATAAAATGCTGGATATATACTCCATATCTGAGCTCTTCAATGAGGCATGAAGGTATTTGGTTAGTTCCCATCATATGTTAACCCCGAAGCATGTGAGTGTATCCGTCTGGGTAAGTGTATGCACGGCACCAGCAGTGAGGGCTCAAGCAATCATAACAGATAAAGTAACTTCTGCTCTCAGCCATCAAAGTATGCTGAACACCATCACCCCATCTCTATTTATATTTTCACCTTCATTCCAATTGCTCAAGGTCGGACACACGTCTGGTTATGTTGATGGGCTTTTTGTCTTTATGTGGAGGAGGAAGTGTTATGTACAGGGTTAGACATGTAGAAAAGATGATACAGGCGCTAGATAATACTTTAAAGTACAAGATAATAAGTAAGGACCTCACAGATATCCTAAAGTCCTGCAACGTTCTGTGACAAACGGAGGATTAGAGAAGTGAGATGCCAGGCCCCTAATGCATATGGTCTGCGCAAGCTGAATATGGAAGAAGACCCACTCATAATTATTGTCCGTTCTAAGGACAGAGTGATACATGAAGCATCACGATAAGAAGGCGCAGTTTCAATAATGAATTCTTGTGAATTCATTCAATCTTCCGCTAAACAGAGGATATAATGTAAAGATTTGTCGACTAGTTTTGGTGTAGAGTCAATGTACATTGTCTTCCATGTAGGCGGAGCTACATTGGTACTAGAATCAGCAATGGACCAGCACTCAGATGTTTAGCGAAGTACGAATTGAGCTTAGGAGTCAGTACTGATGTTGAAAAGTTTAACAATGAGCTGTATATACATTACTTCCAATGATAAATTGTGCAAGCATACACGAGGAAGTCGCCCAATAGAAAAAGCATTTTTAGTTTCCAAATTGTTCGTTGGGTATACTGAGTGGAAATGTGTTTAGGAAAGCCACAAATGAGGGTTTCCTTTTTTAATTTCCCATCGAGCCACACTTATGGGGGTAAAGTAGAAGTTATAAAATCCATAATAATAAGGATCCTGCGTCTTGCTGATGCCAATCATCGGAACCAGTAAGTGAAAAGATTAAGGAAAATTCTATTTAAGAACAATTATCCATTAAGATTAATTGACAATCTAATCAAAATATTGGCAAATAAGATGGGGGAAAGCAACTACTTGCAGTAAGATTGACAGCTGGACCTCTTTATTATGATCCTGATTTTGCAGTCGTGTTAGCTCTCAAAAAAGATGGGCGAATTATTGAGGAAGTGGGGCATCAGGACAATGTATAAAAGGAAAATAACACTTTCCTTAGTATTGCCATCTTTTCGAGAAGTTTCGAACCCTCTCATCAAATCGGGCTGCGATACGACTTTGTGTTGATGTGGTTGCGTCCATGTGGAGATCTGCCTACCCATAACAAAAGACTATCTGGACACAAAACTGCCTTCAAATGGTTGTGGGTCAAAAACGCACAATTCAACAAACACAGTCCACACAAGACACAACATAGACTGGTCTAAAGCCAAACGCCTAGCTGACTTTGGAGATTCTACCAGGAAGCGGTAGATTAGGAAATCTATGCAAATCAACAAATCTGCCAAAATCCTGAATAGAATAAATGAATGTAGGAAGTTAAGCGGAAGCTAATTGCTGCAGTTTGGTTCTGCAACATTGCAGAATCCCGAATAAACGTGATTTATGGAAAGATGCTCTTATTCGGTCCATTTCACGCTTCATCTGCAGCCAATTCCCTATTCGACAAGCATTTAGAAAAAGTATCGGAGATTCCATAAAATCATGAGAGGTCTCATTTTGTAGGCAAAGTGAGGCAGCCCGCCACCTTTCTTGTTTTCTATTTGGCGAATTATCATAAAACGTGGAGTTCTGCTCTGACGATGTCAGTCACATGACGAAGAAAAGCTCATTAAAAGTTCATAGGGTTCACG